GTGTAGAGCATAAAAGTAATGTAAATTGTCTAGGCTTAAATCCCAGCGAAACTAATTGCAATGTTGTATAACCTTTGGCAGGTTACTGAGTTTCAGTGTCCTCATTCACGAAATGGGGATAAATCATAATATCTGTGTTATAGGATTGTTGTTAGCTTAAATGAGTTAATATGTAGAAAGTTCAATATTCCACTCCATATAGTCTTGCTCTACCACCTCCTGATATAACTAAGATACTATAAATTCCTTCACTCACTCATTCACCATAAAATTAAATTGCTTATTTACTATATCCTAAGAATTGTGTTTGAAATTACAGGTAACTTAAGATATCATCTTCCTTAAGAAGCTCACAGGCTCACTGGGAATAAACACAAATACGCACACATAGTTATCTACTCATATACAGGTAGGTGGCAATTACTTAACACTTACCATGCGTTAGGCACTTTGCATTGTGTTTTACTTTGATTACTTATCGTAAATTAATTCTTACAGCAGTCTTACAGAACTAGGTTCTATTATCATCTCAGTTTTATATATTTAAGAAAAAAACAAAAAAAAACCCTGAGGCTTAGAAGGATTAAATATGTGTTTTTAGGTTAGCTGGTTAGCTCACTCAGTAGAGTGGGGTGCTGATAACACCAAAGTCAAGGGTTCAGATCCCTGTACTGGCCAGCCACCAAAATAAATAAATAAATAAATATTTTTTTAAAAATATATGCTTTTAGATTTCTTTGCTATATTGACTCTAATGTTTCACATTCTTTGAGAGTTCAGTTAAAAAATTATGAGAAAACAGAAGAAAGATGACTACTTCAGCCAGAAGGGTGGTAAACAACTAGAGCTTTCACCAGCATCCACCATTTTGGGCTGTATCTTGAAAAGTGGGGAATGAACACATCAAACAGAAGGAAAAGCATATGTAAAGTCATGAGAGCAAGAAATACCCTAGAATATTTAGAGAACAGAGGCAGCTCTATGTGAGTAGAGAACAGGGGTACTGGATGTGGGGAGGAAGGGATGAATCTTACATGGTAACTTGACACACACAGACTTGAGAAGTTCTTTATATGTCATGCAAAGGAGCTTATATTTTGTTCTGTAGGAAATGAGGGGCCAAGGAAGGATTTTAAGAATTTTAGTGAAGAGATAAAGTATATATATATTTAAGAACCATAACAAGAAGCAGTATGGAGGTTGCACTGGAAGAAGTGATTATAGGAACAAAGCTCAGAATCTTTTCGGCTACAAAAGAGATGTATTTACACATATATGAAGCATATAGGTCTAGAGTGAGGCTTCATAAACAAGACATTATAACTTACAAAGACAATTCTTAAAGACTGCTATTAAATAAAGGATTTAAATTTTTTAAAAAACATTATTTAGTTGCTATATTTTGTCTAAGGTAAACTGTTTTTGGCAGACTTGCCCTAGGATTGAGACTTGGGTTCTAGATCCACTTCCACTCTTGAATTATTGGACAAGTAACAGTATCTCATTTAGACAATAAGGTGGCCACATGGTCCTATTTGGAAAACAAATAATATACTTTGTAATCTTCAGAAGAAATGTAAATATAAAATATTACATCATGTTTTTAACTATTTGTTTTTCTTATTAGCAACCTGAGGCCTTTTTCCAAAGGTATCTTTTAATTTTTTTAAACTAAAAACCTAAATGTTCTTTCCTAAGAAGCACAACTGCTATAAAATGAGTGACCATTTCTCAAGTCAATTTGAACTTCACTGACTTCATACATAAAAAATGTAGGACAAATAAGATGCAATGTATTACCCAAAACAGTTGAAAAAAATAAAAGTCAATTCAGCTAAGATTCTGTACTGTTGAGAGTTACAATGAACAAGAAACACTTCAAAAAGTTCAGAGAGCAGCTATATTCAAGAAAATGTTCTTCAATGTGTACCTTAGTAATAATTCTATAAGTGATGAAAGTTTCAATTGTAGTAACATGGCTTTCAGGTTCATCAACTGTAATGAAGAGATCCTTTAAATCTGGCTCATCTTCAAACTTGACTTGGTTTATCATTGATAAAGGAGATGTTGGCATCATAGGACTGAAGGAGTTCATGTCCATCAATGAGGCATCCTAAGGAATAAAACAAGCACAAATTACCATAAATAGGAAAAAATAATAGTTAAAATCCTCTTATTTCTCAGACACCTCCAAGAACAAAAAGGATTATTGGACTTCTGGTTAAAAATGGTATGTTGACCATGTATTTATATCTCAACTTCCTCTTTAAATCCCACCCAAAAAATGACAGTAAAGATAGAAACAAACAAACAAAAGAGGGCATAAACCCTCAAGGGTTGCTATGGTTTGAATGTCTGTGTTCCCTCCAAAATTCATGTTGAAACTTAATCCCAGTGTTAGGAGTTGGGCTTTTAGAAGATGATTAAATCCTGATATTAGCGACTTTATAAAAGGACTGGAGAGAACTAGCGAGCTCGTTTTTTGCCCTTCTGCCTTCTTCTACATGAAGACTCAGCAACAAGGCAGCATCTTGGAAGCAGAGAGCAGCCTTCGCTAGAAACCAAATCTGCCAGCACCTTGATCTTGGACTTCTCAGCCTCCAGGACTATTGGAAATAAATTTCTATTACTTATAAATTACCCTGTCTCGAGTATTATGATATAGAAGTACAAACACAATAAAACAAGGATAAAAAGAAGAATATATAGCAAATGAGAAAGGTCAACTCCATCTTGGAAACTGGAAATCTGATTGTCAAATGGTAACTGAAAAAGCAATGTAGAGAAAGCTGAAATGTAACCTGGAAGAGAATGGTAAACTAGGAAGAAGCAAGCATATTTATTGTAGGATCTCAGAAAGGTTCAGGAATTGGAAGCAACAGGAACCTGTGGACACAGAGGTGTTGGTACAGCTAAAACCAGAGGATTGACTGAAAATCTAATAAAATAAAAAAAGTTACTCCTCATCTACCCCACGTAATCAGGTGACTTTCCCACCCCAATTTTGCAGAACACTCGAAGTTTCCTTTCTGCAGTGTCTCTGAACTGGAGAGCACCAGGTTGGATAGAGAGAAAGGCCCTAGGAAAAATACAGATATCAACTGAAAGTCCTGCATAGTAGATGGAAAGACATCCAATCCTCTTCCTTCACTTGATCCCAACAATTCCGACAGGAAAATGTGAAACCCCACTGTTTAATCCCATTCACTTTGGGGAGGACAATAGTGGGGTAGTATTCCTAAAAAATTCCATCACCATGACATTTCATAATAGTAGAGATTTTTTTTTAAAATTCTGAAAGCTTTCAGAAAGAATATAAGCAGGTAAAATAAAATAGGAATCTCAAGAATTAGAATGGCATCCAATGCATGTCAATAAAACACTGTATTCAAAATTTTGAGAGGAAAGTATTTTCCACCCAGAATTATATATATAGCCTGGCAAAGTGCCATCCAACTATCCATGTAGAATAAAGCCATTTCAGACACGCAGGATTTCAAAAACTAACTTCCCATGCACCAATTCTTGGGATGCTCCTTTACTTCTCCAAAATAAGGGCAATTACTAAGAAAGAAGAAATAGAATCTAAAAACAAATGAGCCAACAAAACAGAAAAGCAAAGGGAATTTCCTGGATGATAGTGAAAGAATGTTCCAGGCTGACAGCTTTGCAGCAAACTTAGAGACAGCCTATACAGACTGGACTAGGATGATGTCTCCAAGGAGGCAGGGAGGTCATGAGGGAGAAAGAATAAAGGAAGGGAAAGAGGAAGGAAAGAGGGATGGAGGAAAAGAGAAGAAGAAAGAGGAGTGAACAAAGGAGGGGAGGAAAAAGAAAGAGAAGAAAGAAAAGGAAGAAAGGAAACAAATGAAGAGAAGGAAGTGAAGGAAGGAATGAGGAAAGAAAGGAAGAAAGAAAACTGATAGAATACCTAGTATATTTAAATATGAGAGGAAGCATGCCTGTGTTAGACTCATAGTTGAACTATAATCGGTACCAAGAAATCCAAGAGGGAAGGAGAAAGCAAGAGAGGGAGACAGGGAGGAATGAGAAAGAGAGAATGAATGAATGAACGAAGAACACTAAGGAAAACAAAAGCTGTACAAGAATGAAAATGTATCATAGTTCACTATATGGCTCGACTGTGAATAAAAATAAATTGTTTATAATCCTGGATTTACCTTAAAATGGTAATGTAATTATATTAAGCTGATGTGAGAAAGAAAAATACATGTAATGAGGGGAGGGAACATTGCCTATAAAATAGCTTCAAAAATGTCAATACCGTGAAGGAAAAAGAAAGATGAAAAATGGTTCCAGATTCAAGGAGACCAAACAGATACAACACCTATATGTAATATGTGATCCTGGATTGGATTCATACCAGGGGATAATAACATTTTTTTTTTCTCTAAAAGATTATTGGGAAAATCAGAAAAATTCTAAAGGGTCTGTGGAATAGACTGTTGTATCAATGTTAATTTCCTGATTTGGATGTTTATACTGTGATTATGTAGGAGGGAGACTGTTCTTGTTTTCAGAAAATATACAAAGACCTATTTAGGAGTAATGGGTATCATGTCTCCAATTTAATGAGAGAAAACAAAAGTTGTGAAATGGTAACAGGTGGGGAATCTTGGTTCTTTGCAAAAGTCTTGCAACCTTCCTCTAAATTTGAAATTCTTTCAACATAAAAATATATTTATAGTTTAAAAGTCATTCTATCATTATATCATTATTACATAATATTACACAACATATATCATTATTCTATCACTATAGTCTTATCATTCTATAAGGATTAAAATAAAGCAAAACAAACCAATTAAAAATAAAAAAAAGCAGCATCCCTTGCTTTCTACTGACTGCCATTAACTGTTCATGATCCTCAGAAGCAAATTCAGAACTTTCTAAGCTATTTTTGTTCCTTGTTACATTCTTCATTTTAAAATTACATACACTGCTTTTTTTATTTTTCAATTTTCTACTAAGCAAGATGAAGAGTATTTATTTAGTCAATTAATTATATGAATGTAGATGCACAGGTTTCTATTTTACTCAGTGGGTTATAATCCATTAATATAACTTATTTTGATGTTTATAACTCTCCCAGATTTGGCTGGGGGGAGCCCCTTAAAGCTGGCACCTGTGCACTTTTTTCTTTTTTTCTTTTTTTTTTTTTTGTCCTTTTTGAGACCAGCCACCCCGCGCTCAGCCAGTGAGCGCACCGGCCATCCCTATATAGGATCCCAACCCGCGGCGGCAGCACTGCTGCGCTCCCGAGTGCGCCACGGGCTCGGCCCGGCACCTGTGCACTTTTGATTTATCTTCATTATGCCTTGAGCACTTTATTTTCTGGCATAACAAGATGTTTCAGGTTAATCTTGTTCTTTCTCTGCCCCAGCCCTAGAATCAGACATTTCTCCAAGGAGCTCTGGCTCCTTTTAGAGGAGGCTGGTATTCACAAACCAAGATATGAGTTGAGTGGTAGGAAATATATGTACGACACACACACACACACATTTAGATCTAGATTTACGGATAAATATAGAAATAGAAATAGATATGAAATTCCAAGAGTTCACACTGATACCTTCCATTCCAATTTGATACCATATAAATTTCTCCCTTTCCATATTTATAACTCATTTCTCCAGCAGTGAGAAGACTAGCTCCCATTATCCTGAATATAGTTACTTATTGGCTCAATCCCTCTGTATGTGACCAGTTCCCAACCATGCTGGCTGCCTCCTCCTCTCGGACCACACATGCCAATGCAGCCTCATTCGCAAGGAAGCCTCTTAGCCCCAATCTCACTGGCCATTTCCTTGGCCACACTGGTCATCTGCTTAGTCACATTCAATATTTTGTTTTGTTTTGTCTAAATAAAGAAAAGAAAAATATGGGAAGGGAGGGCTACATGTTATTTTTTATAAATATATTTTTTTAAATTAAACAAAAGAATAATACACAAAAATTTTAAATACAAATAATACTTCATTCATATGCAAAGATAAAACTAACACTATCAATAAGACAGTTGAGTTATTTCTGCAGCAGGAGTAATGACTTGCTCTTCAACTCTATACTTTCTTCTTCAGATTCATTTTTCCCCCAAATGTAAAGTTTCATCTGTTAGAATCAAAAGTTTTGTCTGTTGTCATGATAAAAGACAAAAGTTAACTGACATTAGCGAGTTAAATCTGCAACAAAGCCCTTAGCTTACCAACAAAGTTGCCCAGTCCTGAGTGAAAAGATCATTATAAATAAGGCCAGAAGTGGCTTTTAGTCTTGTCTCTACCATTGACTAAGCTGGTGACCCTGAACCATGAATTCAGCCTTTCTAGGTTAAATTAAGCAGCTGGACTTGATCTCTAAAACCTCTCCCAGCTCCAAATGCATTAATATAGTAAAATGTAATAAATTATGATGTTTTAGAAAAAGTACCTTTTGTAGAACTATGAGGGAGGGGGAGGATGAAATCATAACACGGACTTGTGTATCCCTCAAACCAAATCAATAAAAATGCTTTTGAAGCATAGATAATATCCAGAGCACTTCTCCAAAGGCTCTTCCCACAAAAAGTTTAGCTATGTGAACTATAATACAGCATTTAGGCAATGCTTCATTGTAATAATAGATGACGTATTATTGTAGGACACACTAATTGAAAAGACAAGAATAACAATGTTCGTTAAGATTAAGAAGGTTCACTGAGGGGCCGGCCCGGTGGCGCACTGCGCTAGTGCGCCGCTTGGGAGGCGCGGCGGCGCTCCTGCCGAGGGTTCGGATCCCACATGCAGACCGGTTCCGCTCACTGGCTGAGCGGGGTGCGGGGGCGGCACCGAGGGTTGCGATCCCATTGCCGGTCCCGGTCCGGTGCGGGGGCGACACTGAGGGTTGCAATCCGTTGCCGGACACGGAAAAAAAAAAAAAAAAAAAGAAGGTTCACTGAAATAGTTGTAAAAGGAAAACATTTAAGAATGATTTGGGCCAAGGAGTAAAAGACAAATTTCAGTTGCATCATCAGGCACACAAAAATAGAGGCAATAAATGTCTTGCAACAAAAGTGTAGTGAAGTAAATCATTTTATATCCTTATGAAAAAGAATGA